ATATATATTAAAAGAGACAAGAATATCCTCGTTCGACTTTACGATCGAGAAATGTTGGATTTTCATCGGATATAAATCGTAACGATAAATTAATTCGTAACTGACACAGATAGAGATAGATAGATAGATAGAAAGAGAGATAGAGAGAGAACGAGGAAAATAAGGAAAAAGGAGGAAGCGAAGTTCGAGAGAGCAATCGATATGAGACGTGAGAGGAGATAAAGAGAGAAAGAGAGATAAAGAGAGGAGACCTTTGACACGGAAGCTACATTCAGCTCGATGCACAGAGGACCGAGTAAATTTACCGAATTCACTTTGAAACTACGGTATTCAAGAACTAAACTATTCGGCTTAGGGAGAGTTAGACTATTAAAGTGCTCCGGGTAGAAAGAAAAGGAGGAAGAGGGTTGTAGGACTGAGCGAATAAGAAACGTAAGAGAGAGAGAGAGAGAGAGAGATTCTAGGTGCCCGCGACGTAATTACGGGAAATTGGAGTCAAGTCGGAAAGCGAAGTTATCGCGCGACGAGTTATTCTTTTCTTAAAACATTTCGCGATTAACAGAAGTGACGAAGAAAGGAAGGAAGGAAGGAAGGAAGGAAGGAAGGAAGGAAGGAAGAAGACAAGGTACTTCAGAATACGAATGCGAAAGGTAGAAAAAGGTTGGACGTTGAAAAGGTTAACTTGTTTCAACATTGTATCAACTTGGACGATGTTTTTAGATAAACGAATGAAAGAAGACAGAAGGAGAAAGAATGAGAGGGGGGAAAAATTGTAAAACGTTGGAGACATCGATGAAAGAAAAATACAAGATAGACAAAAAAAGTTATAACCAACTGTGAGTATAATAAGAAAAGATTTCAGTTAGATCAGAGGTTAAAAGTTGGTTGTCGTAAAAGAAATAGAGAAGAAGGAAAAAGAAAGAAATAAAAGGAAATTATAAAACGTTGGAAATATCGATGATGGAGAAATATGAGATTTAAAAATAAATTAGTCGACCGCGAGTATATAATAAGAGGAAATTAGTGTTATGTCAAAAGTTTAAGTTATCATGAGAGAAAAATATTATTATTATCTACTAGCTTCTCCCTTTTTCACAAATAACCTCTGATATAATTACTAATTAATTATCGTTCTCTCGGTCGTTTTGGTAAAAAAATAAATGGGAGAGGGAGAGAAAAAGAGGGTCATCGAAATATGGTGATCATACGAAATAGGGTGAACAAGGAACTAAGGATAATTCCTTTAGCCTGGAGGCAAAGTAATACCGAAACTTCTCTTGCGTTTCTTCTTCTTCTTCTTATTGTATATATACCCTTCTTCCCTCGAAGGGATCGACTTATCGCGATGCATCGTTGTTCTCGAAGGGTTGGTCCTCTCTCTCTCTCTTTCTCTCTCAGTGAGTGTATAATAAATTTGTAAAAACGTTCCAACGTTTCGCGATAAAGTCGTTCTTTTCTTTCCTCTTATCTCTTTTCGTGTGATTTTTAAAAAAGAATCCACTGGAGTTTCTGTCGAAAAAAAAAAAAGTATAGACAAGAAAAGAAAAAAAAAAGTAACGTACGAAATATTCTCACACCCGACTTAATGCTTTTCTCGCGTGTGTTGTTGTTGTTGCGCAGAGGCAGAGTATACTGTCCATAAAGATAGGGAATGATTCATAAAAATAAAAGCGGATTAAATCGAGCAACCGTGACGCCGAATGCGAGCATTGTATACTTTTCTCTAAATGCAAAAGCATTATATTTCGGAAAAAATAAAAATATTTATCTATAAAAATGCAAGAGGAATTTCAAGTTTTTCGAAATGCTTTTTTCGAGATAGGTAAGTCAACTTCGGTGTACGATGTGAATGGTAAAACGAGGATTAAGATTAAAAAGAAACAAACAAACAAACAAACGAAATGGAAAGAAATAGTTGATAACTGTTTTGACCGATCATAAAGAACAAAAATCGAAATGGACGATTTTTGAATCTCGTTTAGAAGCAAGCATGGGATATAAATTCATCGTAAAGGGGATAAATTGATAACCAGAAACGGTGAACGTTATCGGAAAACTACTAAAGCCACATGTCGTTTATTATCAATTGGAAGATATATTTTCGAAAGAAAAGAATGAAGTCTCGATAAAGGTCTTTGAAAATCTTTCTCATTTCTTTTCATTTTGTCCACGATTGACCCTTAAGATACTTCACCATATTTTATTCACTCTTTCTCATTCTTCTTCTTCTTCTTCTTCTTCTTTATGTCTACTTTTGTAAAAATTAATTTAATTTTTGTACGTGTATACACGAGTCCTCGAACTTCTCTTTCGAAAACGATCGGGTTTCAGGGGAAATAACTTGATTAAAATAATCTATCACACCATAGTGACAGGGGTGATTGGCTATCTGAGTTAAATATGATGAAGCGCCTAACTTTGTCTCTCTCTTTCTCGTTCGTCTCTCTCTTTCTCTCTTTATATATATAGATAGATATATTTCACTCTCTTTCTCTCTCTCTCTCTCGCTCTTTCTCTCTTAATTATTTTCTCTCGTTCTCTCTCACGGTAGCTCTGTATCGACAGAGGCAAATTGATAGGTAATATGTGGGCACTACTCATCTACTTCCCTCTCGTGACATTTACCGACGGAAATGACTCGTTTTCCCAATATTCGAGCCTGAAAAAGCCGTTAAGAGGGCTTTTACTGTACCAAATGGATACCATACGGGATAATCCTGTTACATGCGTTGCCTTGACGGCACTTCGATCGTATTCCATACTACTACTATCCTCTTCTTTTCTATTTTGCCAAATTTCGTCCTTGTTCAAGACAGTAGATGAACATGATTCCTGTTACGATTTCGATTAGACTCATAAGAGGAAATTTCTATTTTGGTTTTCCACGATCTTTGGGATAGGAAATACAAATCGAACCGACGTATTTGAGAAAATACGTCATTCTTCTCTCGTTTTATCGATACTTTCGTTCTCTCTATTTCCCTTCCTTTGTATTCCTTTAACGGTAGGAGAAAAATTGATGGGTAATAGGCAGCTAGCCGAACCGTCTAGCAGCTCGTTGGCGTGACGTTTACAAGGGAAACTACAGGATCGATTTTCCGATAAAAATGAGAGGAATCGGGGGGGGGGGAGTAAGCCTTAAAAAAATCCATGTCGGACGGTCGAC